GTAGCGAGGTTGGCTCGCCGGCAGCGTGACCACACGTGGGGGAGCGCGGAGGGCGGGTAATGAAAAGGGGCCTGGAACGCTTGAGGGTTTGGAGCCTGCAGTCTCTTTGTAAGCTATGTTGTACTCTGTGATGACGCCATTGCTCTCCTCTTGGTCAGGAGGGAGCCAGGAGAACTGGAGGGAGCAGCAAGTGGCGTTAACAAAGTCAGATATTTTGGGGTATCCTGAGGGTGGGATGACGGGTACGCTTATTTCCCTCCGCACTACATCTCCGTAGCCCGCTCGGCTCTTTGCGGAGAGCACAAAGACGTAGGTGGAGCCCGGGGAGAGGTTTATGACGGTGAAGTTTCTCTCTTTTGTGAAATCTATCGTGGTCTCCAGGGAGGCATTCTTCAGGCCAAACTGGAGGCGGTAGCCTTGAATTTCCAAAGGGAGCCCCTGGCCATCAGAGCCTGACGCTGCGCATTCCGGTGGAGGAGCCCATCGAAGCACCACTGATGGACCTAATCCCAAATGTGCCCACAAACAGGGAGGGCCGGGTACTGCAAATGACAATGCGGGGGAAGGCAGAAAGTTAGTTTGAATCATCAATTTAACGACCTAAAAAGCATTGAAATTAATTTGGCTGCTGCGGCGGAAGTTGAAATTCCCTGTAGAGTACGTATGCTGCTACATTCTGAAGCAACTACTCGGCATGTACTTACCCAACCCTGAGGTCTTCACCAGCTTGGCTTTGCTATGTGCTCCGTCACCTTTGGTGGTATATGCTGCCACTGAGACGGAATACAAAGTCTCTGCTTTTAGGCCTCCCAAGATCATCTCCTATCAAGGGAAACACAAAATCGCATTTAAAAGTGATTCAGTACACTTTCGTATTTATCATTTCCAAAACAGTTGGCAAACTATTAACGTTGCGCATTCCTGAAAAGAAGAAATCAAAAGCAAGAAAAATCACAGTTTCAATGCCATCAACGCTGGTTGATTGTTGGATGGAGGCACGTTTTCCATCGGATCCAGGTGAAAAGGTGCTCAGTATTGAAACCTTGACAGGTCTGTGCTATTTCAAGCGCTATTCTAGTTCTGTATGTGCCAATATTGAGTTCATGAAGAAGAAGAAGAAGAAGAAGCGTGCACTCACATACTGAGTGGAATCATCCTCTTCCATCTTAACCGCCAGGCGAGACGCGGCAGACAGGTAACCCAGAAAGAGGAGATGAGACCGGAAGGATATTCAACCATCCAATAATTGACCATCACATTTAGATTCTTTCACGATGATGTCACCTGAGACTCATCCAGGAGGATATCTTTTATCCAAGGAAGATTTCGGGATTCGCCGCCGCCAACACGGCTGTAGTGCACCTGGTAACCGCGGATCTGACCTTGACGTAACCTTGGCAACACAGACCGCCAAGTGATCCGAAGTGCGGAGGAATTGATAGGATTGACATCAATGTGACGAGGGGCTGCGCTGGGAACTGCACATGCAAAAAGCCACGGATAATTACCTACTGTAAAGAAGCATCAGTATAAACAGTGGAACTTCCAAAGTGGAATGTGTTGCAGATGCGCCTGACTGACTTTTTAAGCCTTTCGGGGACAGCGGTTACTACAGTGGACGGCTTATCATGTTATCAGGTTACAAGGCGCATGAAAGGGTTAAAATTCTTACGGTGTAAACTAAGCATTCTTGCGAGCTGCAAATAAAACCCTCAACGTTTAACGATGAGAACTATGACAACGTCCACGGTAAAGCTGCTTTAAATGCGAATCCTCTCGATATATAACTTCCTCTGAATGTTCTGCATGTCCTCTTAAGTTGTTACAGCCCTTACAAGCGCCTCTGGACCTTTGGGAGTAAGTGGAGCAAAACAGGTAGACCTCTGAAGCAGAGGTGGGTGACTCAATTTACATGGTTTGCCTCGAGTCAGACTTAACCTGGTAATTTTCCATTTTTTTGATTTTTGAAAGAAAATATGCTTTTTGTGTTGTGCACACAATCCCGGCGATCCACCGGTATGCTACAAAATGGAGCGGAGAGGCCGGTTCATTAAGCAAGCACCCAAAGATTCTTATTTTTGGATTTTAGGATTAGGTTTCTGATAAAATGGTCCAAAAGAGAACAGCAACTCAGTTTTAACCCAGAAACACAACAACTATGATAACTAACTTCATCTGTTATAAAACCCCAAAAGACAGGTGCACTACGTTAACTTCACTGTTAGCTCGCTGGCCAAACATGTGTTTTTTGGCGTGACTTCCACAGCAGGGGGAGATGTGAAGTCGAAGCGGTGCTTGGTTAGAGGGTGTTTCCAGCATCTGAAGGCCAACTCTACCTGTTTCAAAGGCCACGGTTCGGCACAGCAGAAGTACTATTGTATTGTAAGTAGTATTGGAGAATGGATTCAGACCATTAAAACTGTGATTTTTCAATCTGTGACGACAGCTAACAAATGCTAGCACAGATACTGAGTGCAAAGTGGCTAATGTGTGACTATAAGTTGTGAATGAGTAAGATTTTGTCAGTTACGACTTTCTTCCACGAGTAAAGATTTGACTTCATTGACATTTAGTGGGGACTCGACTTGACTGGCTTGGTTTTTGTGACAGCTACTTGGGACTTGTTTAAACGGTAAGACACATGTGACTTATCCCCTCTTCTGCGCTGTAGAATCAAGATGCCCTATTTTCCCCTGAACTTTTGTGGGCAATCCGAATTGTTCAACCTGAGCTAAATTTGACTTTCAAAGTTCCACTGTAACCACGAATGCGTATCTAGACTTACCATCCTCATCTGTTCTGCAGAGTACAGGCAAGCTGTTGGGTCCAGTTCCCTCAGAAGTAGAGGCTGCCATGGTGATGTTGTACCAGCTCCATTTCTCCAGGCCCTCTACTAGTGTGTCTGCCTGCCGGGCCGAGATAGGGAGCCCGGACACCTCCTGGCCCTGACCTTTGCCTCCTGCCCCAGAAACCTTGCGGTACCTCAGCTCATAACCTGCCAACTCGCCATTCTGGCCTTCCAGTGGAGGCGGCCTCCAACTAACTCTCAGCGAGGTGGAGCTGGCACTCTCGCAGGAGACACCCTCGGGTGCGGCTGAGGGCTCTGATTAGACAAGGGGGAGGGCAGTCGGTAAAGCGTTTGAGAGTAGGGGGTGAAAAGCAAGAGTTGGTGTGGGGGGGGGGGCGATAAAAGTAAAAACACAGGGGACAGGATGAAAAAAAAATGGAAACAATAAGAGACGACGGTAAACTGAACTGAAAAAGATGACACGGGGATAAGCACGAGAATAAGAGCCAAGCCAGCACTTGACATACAAGAATAACACTTAATGAAATCAACCAGAGACGAGAGCATTGACAGTGAGCAGACAACTTAAAAGCGGAGACGACTGGGCTTGAAGAGTGTACAGCGTGTGCGCGAGTGTGGGAGTCAAAGTCCTAGCTGACAGATTCAAGTATCTGCCCACTCAGCTGTAAAGCCACCGCGCTGTTTGCCTCGGGGGACAATCTCGATGTGCACCAAACCTTGGCGATAACAAAGCACACCCTGGGAAATGCATTGTGCTTCAGGAAATAGTCTGCTTGCTTAGAGTTGGCCTTGACTGCACCCCTCCTGACACCTACACCGCTTTTCTTTCCTCTTCGTTTTTGGGGGATGAAAGGACAAGGACACAGGTTAGATGTACCGAGCACATTTTTGGGGATCAGAAAGCTGCAAGTTTCATGTAAAAATAAATCTCAGTCCTCCCCAAATTGCAATCACAGGCTGTCAAGTGTGTGCCAAAGCAACGGCTGTGGCTACAAACTCTCGGTTCAGGGGTCACCAACCTTTTTGAAACAGAGCACTACATCTTGGGTCCTAACTCACGTAAAGGGCTACCAGTGCGAAGGCCCTGACCACATGCTGGCTGCCAATTTTTTACTTGTTTTTGCCCCTTGCTCTTCTGTCTACTCTCTGTAACAACTGCACACTCACGGCTGACAACGAGGCACTCGAAAGTAACCGCACAAGCCAAAGGAAATCGTAATGTCCCATCACTGGTGAACTGCTCTGATAACAAGTCGGTGGGCGACTCATGTGTCCCTTGGCGGCTACCAGGTACCCGCAGCCACCTTGTTGATGACCTCTGGTCTTAAAATATGAAAGCCACTGGCAGACTAAAGAAAGTCAGTTCAGGGAAAAGGTAATAATAGAAGTAGATTAACAGTGGAGTGGAGTTACTCACGAATGTCACACCTGGAAAATTAAAAATAGGTTAACAGAATAGAACAAACATTTTTCTTTGCAAAACCATTTTCCGCCTTGTCACAAAATCAGTGACCGAATAAGATTGGATTGGATTGGATAGAACTTTATTGTCAAATGTACTGTATGTGTAACACGGCATATACTTTTTAAAATGAAATACGACTGTGTGGACATGGGCATATGCAATGCATCACACACAAATCAGGTACATTTGTTGGGCTATGCTTGGTTATCGAGAAATGCCAAAAAGGGTGAAAATCCAACGAAACGAAAAAATCACAACGTCTGGCGCTGACTTATAACATAGCAGACCAACCCACAATCTTTTTAAGCTCCTCTCCACTGCCTGCTCGTCTGGCAGACATTTTCACCCTTTTAAAGATATTAGACACTGATCGAGTAGTGGGGAGGGGGGTAGTGGAAGGAGGGTGAAAAAGAGTAAGACACAAACATTAAGCGGCGCTCCGTCTCCATCTGTCATGATATGTTTTGGCTGTGAAAAAAAAGGGAGAGGCTGAGCGGAGGAGGAAGAAAGTCGCAGTTAAACGCAGATGGATGGATGGGCGTGGGCTTTGGACACATGACATGATAAAGGAGATCAATGGTCGGATGGTGTCACAAGGTTGCCAGCTCGTGCCAGGTCAGCAGACAGCAAGTGAAAATTGTGTCAACGTGGGTTTTCATGACATTTGTGGGCAAGGTGAAACATAATACAGTACGGCAGCAACGTGTGTGTGTGTGTGTGTGTGTGTGTGTGTGTGTGTGTGTGTGTGTGTGTGACATCAAGGAAAAGGAGACATACTGGCTTGTGATGTCCTCTGCACCAGTTCATTGGTGAAAGCACCGATGCCTTTGTTGGAGATGGCTGCCAGGGAGAAGGAATAGTCTGTGTTGGCTTTCAGACCCTCCACCGTGTAGGAGTTTCGCGGGCCAAAGGTCAGCTTCTCCTACAAGAGGAAGAGAGAAGAGGAAGGTGTCAACAGCGGAGAAAATGATGCTGGACAGAAGGATCAAGGCTCCTATGTCAAGCAACCATCATTTGCAGCCTCCCGAAAAACTCCAATAAAAACGGTTGTGACGTGTCATAAGGAAATTAGCAGTAATACTTTATAAAAAGATATATTTTCATTAAATGCACAGAATTGAACATGCGACTTGGCCACCTGGGCGTGGTACACGACGGTCATGCGAACGAAGAAGAGTTAAACAACCACTGGTACTGCAACATTGTTTTTTTCCACGGGGGATAAAGAATATATGCCAGTGAGTACTGTTACATTGTCTATCAAAACATGTTGCTCCATTGTTTGTGTTCAAATATTTGTTGCGTGAAGTATTCTGACATCGCCACATAGCTGCTATTCGTTAGCCAGACTATGGCCTTTCTCATCAAATGTTAGCATTAAGTTAGCGGACGCTAAGTGGTTGTTTTAAATACACGTTTTTTTTTTTTTTGGGGGGGGGGGTATGTTTATTTTGACCATAAACTTCAACTAGACCGATTCAAAAAAAAAAGTTTTTAAATCTGTTTTCTAGCACCTCAGGTGGTTGTGATATTTTCAGTTGACTATCTTACCAAACTGCCATACTTGACAGGTTTGTAAAGGAGCTCGTAATTGATGATGCCCTCCTTGGTGTACGCCGGCTCCCAGGTCAGCTCAATGCTGGTGTCAGTCACCCTCCCGATTTTAAACTTCCCCGGTTGTCCTGGAACTGAAGAAGGGAACAAGACCGATGTTATTTGTATGGATATTACCTCGGGGAGCTATTAACAAAAAGGTGAACATCACTTTAAAATTTTTGTCACCATTTTTAGCGGCACGAATAGGTTGTAATTGTATTGCCGTTGTGTTCAACCGACGTTGTGTTCAACCGATCTTCTCGCTTATTAAGGTCATTTAAGTTACGGCAGTAAAAAACAGCTTTTTTAAAACCCATTCAAAATACCTTTTTTTTTTTTTTTTTATTGCCTAATTCCATGGGATTTATGTTGCAACCAACAAGCTCTTCTTTCATCAGACTTTGACAAATATTTGGACTTAAACCATATGTTTCTCTTCCTGTAGGAGTTGAAAACTGACAAAATGTTCAGGTACACGCGTCCCAAGTCTACACGGGAATTTCAACACGTAATGCCATCACAGATTTGTGAGCACTAATCTCGTCGTGCCCGCCGAAGACGTAAAACCGACAACTTTTGCAACCACCGCCGTCGTGACTTGACTTGCTTGAACATAACACGTTCTTGCTCCTGTTAATCTGTTTCCTTTTCCACAACTCTCCACAAACTTAAGTGTCGGCTTGTGCGAGTTACTCATTTGAAGGATGCGCATGTTGTGACAGGTCGAGCCCAGTATTGCATAGCGGCCGCGTTCCACTTGTCATCTGAATAAGCTGCTTGCTGATTTGCACGACGTGCAGCGATGACGCTGCGGGGCAGTGGGGTAAGCGGTCTGTAATTTATATTTAATTCTAACGGCCATCATGATGATTAGATGCAAAATCAGATGAGTACTAAACAGTCCTCTTCTCTTATCACGTGTTTTACAGAAATTATATTCAAGCATGTATAATGCATTTCGAAACAAATTAGTGACTATAAACGGAGAGGGACTTTAATAGAGAGACTGGAAGAGTCACAGAAATGCAGAGTGGTGGCCCTCATTATAAATATATTGATCAATTGATTGATCAGATGCCAGTTGTCAATTTCGCTCTTTAGCTCCGGTTTAGAGAAGGTTAAATAAAGTTCCCTCGTAAAGTTTATCGTGCAATTGACAGCTTTGTCGTGACATTCCCCCAAAAAGCTTTTTTTATGAACCAACTGAAAGTGTTGAAAATAGCTTGAGAATTAATCCATTAACTGGCTTGAACAATCCAAATTTCGGAGAAGTCATCCGTCACTCTGCGGGAGCCGTGCGGCATTACGCCACCTCAAGATTGAATGTCTCAATGTTTTTTTTTGTTTTTTTAGATAATAATGAGTGAAAAGTATACATCTGAGTTCGCCTGTTTGGTTGAAAATGGATCGCTGGAATACTTTGGTGCAAGAGACAATATAATACCAACTTGACCAGCGGTGTTTGGAAACTCAAGCAAGATGGCGTTTATTTTGATTGCAAGGATTGCCCCCAACAACGACGACAGGCCAAAGCGATATACGGTAGATGATATGATATTATATTTGCCTGTCAACAACACTGACCTCCTGGCATGACTTTAACGTGGACCGGGTCAGAGAAGGGCCCGTCCCCGACTGAGGTGAAGGCCAGGACTTGGAGGGTGTACGTCTCGGAGGTCACCAAGCTTTGTATGGTGGTGATCACACTGTCCTGGACATTATGGATCTTCCACTCATTCATCGGCCGGGACGGGTCCATGGTGTAGTACACGCGATAGCCTTTCACCTGCAACACGGCAAGCATGGAGAGAGATTTTTTTGACGGATGGCGTGTTGAGTTTTTAAGGTCATCCTCGGCTGAGCTGTGTGATAAATGGTCTCCCACTTAATCTCACTGTCTTGCATGCACTGTAATCCATAAAGCCTTCATTCAGCATACAAACAACCGGCGTCGATCACAGCCAAGGTCGCCATCCGTGAATTACGGTGACGTCGGTCCAGATGGCCGCGCGCGTTTGCGGTTCGCGCCTCGTAAGAGTCCGCCGTCATGAGGTGATGACCTCCCGTGGCTGAAGGTCAGACAAAACACCTCTAATACAAACTAAGTGTGCTCTCGCTATATATCACCATATTTGTTGAGCGTCCTCACCCGTGACCTCCATCGGCAAATCTGTTGTCACTCCTTTAATAACTATAATCCTCATACGCGCTAAATGCACTTTTGTGAATATCGTCGATGGGTGAGGTCGGCTCGAAAAGGAAATAGGCTTCCAGAGGGAGTGCTCTTAATTTAGAGCAGAAAGCACCTTTTCTTTCTTTAGAGATTGGGGTGGCACTTAGGTGGTAGTGGGGCTAGAAAGGTGGGGCACAATCCCCGTTAAGGACACAAACCCGCACACTCCAATTCAGCTCCCTGTGGGGCATTTTATGGAGGCTTTAATGTTTTAATCTCCTTAAAGTCTCGACGCAAATCTGAAACCTTGTTAGTCTGTCCTCAGTAAAAGGCAAATTTAATTTCAATTGGGGGATACATGATTTTTTTTTTTATTCCTATTAGTTGGCACCAGTGCCTCTCCTGTTACTGTCACATGCAAGTAATTACAATTTTAAAGCCATCACTTTATTGCGCACCAGTGAACTGCTGGATGTGCAGAATCGAAACATAATATGGAAAAGAATCAAAAAATACATGTAGCCATCATTAAATAGGCGTAAAAAGACCACTTGGCATTCCAGGCACAATATTAAAACCCTTGTGGGAAAAAAATATACTTCCCTTTCTCATATTCCTCAATTGAAATAAATTTGCAAGGTTTAGACACATGCAAGTGGACACATTATAGGATTAAAAGAATGTCGTAAGATCCAACATAAGAGCTGTCTCAAAAATTTCCCCTTGACAAAGATGTAAATAACAGGTGACGTGATCTCATGTCATATGAAAAAAAAATATGGACTTCCCACCTGCCCATTTGGCTCCTCCGGTTCCTCCCAGCGGACCATCACTGTGTTCTGCGAAATAATGTGCGCTTGGACATTTCGCGGCGGGCTGGCCGGGGCTTGCTCTCCCGTCCGGGCGTCCACTCGTACAGAGGGGGGGCCCTGGCCAATGCTGTTGAAGGCTGACACTCGGATCTCGTACTCGGTGTTGGGGTACAGCCCACCGATGCTGTAGCGGGTGGTGGTGATGCTGTCTACCGTCTCATACTTGCTGTCTGGCCCTTTGGCGCGGTACTGGATGATGTAGTACGAGACCGGGTCGGGGTTACCGGAGTCCCACGTGATGGTCACGCTGGTGGCTGTGGTTTCCGTGACGATGGGAGTGCCCGGAGGCTTTGGCAAAGCTGGGAGCACATCAAGATCGATGATGACATTGTGCAATGTTGAGCGGGCTTGGATATGGTTGCAAAATGATGGGAATTTTCAAAAGTTGAAACTTTCCAGAGGAACGAACAGGAATTTACGAGGGTTCAAGAACATTGGCTCTTTGTAGAGAATTTCAATATATATATATAATGGGGACAATAGATTTTTAGTATAATTCTGACGAGAACAACCAAATTTCATTTAAAAGTTGCGCCTTTACTTACGAGTGTTCCATCGTCCAAGTTATTAAAATTATGAGCCAACACGTGATTGGAAATTTATCAGAAGTGTTCCGGAAATGTACTGGAAATTTCCCACCCCTTTGCAAGCCTCGGCCTATCGCGGGACGTCTCTTACTCTTGACTAAGACTTGAGCCGTGGCCTCGATGATACCCAGGCTACTCATGGCCACGCACGTGTAGTTGGCCGACTCTCGCACGCCATTGAGCTCCAGCACGTTCCGACCGATGGGCATCTCGTCCTCGGGGGTCAGGTCCTCGCTGGACACCATCCATTTGACGTAGGGCATCGGGGAGCCCACCGCCACGCAGGTGATGTTGACGCTCCCTCCCGGCATGATTTCGTGGTTGGAGGGGAGAATGGAGAAACGAGGGGGGACGCGGCGCACTGGTAAAGGAGGAGAGTCGGGGGGTAGAGAGGAGAGGGCAGGAGGTTGAGGGAGGGCGGGGGAGAAAAAAAGGCGGAAAGAGAGAGAGAGGAGGTCGGGTGAGGGGGAGAGAACCAGATAGAGAGGCAAAGAGCGAGATGCAGAGAGAGTGAAGAGAAGAGAGGTAAGAGGAAGGGGAAGAATGAACTTCAGGGTTTTTTTTTTTTTTTCCTTTTACAGAAATTACAAAGGGATATTTCACGTTGAGCCCCAATTACTTGATGGTACTGATGAATCCAACAGAAAGACACACATCGTGCTGAGCTCACCCAAACAGAGTGAGCTGCCTTGACAAACAACAAGAACATGACATCGTCTTGAGTAGCGCTTCATTGAGGGCATGACAACGACTATCAGTTTTTCTTTTTCCGGAAGTGTTATATTTCTTCATCATGGTGGAAGATTTTATTTATTGATTTATTTTTTTTATGCCGATGTAATATAAACGTATTGTTCGGAGCAATGGCCACACTGAACTTTGGACTCTGCTTATTGTAGTATGTCTTAAATATATGGATTGGCATCCCGAGCAATTACACCGAGAGGAAGCGAAATTAAGAAGCAGCTTCAACAGCATCAATCATTGTGAGCATTTTTTTTTTTTTTGTGCGTGTGTGTGTGTGAGAGTGTGTTGTCAAATTACGCATCACAACATTTGAAGCTTTGTTCTAGCTCATCCCAAAGGTGTTTGGTGGGAGTTTTTTTCACGCCTAACTCATCCACGCATGCCTTTCAAGGCCTTACTTTGTGCATTCGTGTTGCAACACTTTGCCCAACTGTGTCAACAAAGCAAAGGACGATCCAAAATGTCTGTTGCGGTTGTCGTAGAACACATTTGAACTCATCCGAGTAGATCGAATCAGTCTATGGACCATTGAAAAGCTTTCGCGTGAGTAACCCAAATATGTATCATGTACACTCGAGCTAGACCCCATCGGAGAATGGTTTCACTGTTTTGGGATGCATAACAGTCGTTAAGATACACTGGAGGGAGTCCTCTGGCAGCCATTAAATTTGAAAAATGATCGTGGAGGCATATGAAGGTGTCGCATCGAATCAAACTGTGTTTATTTGGTAGAGGCTAATTCGTCGAGGTGGAAACGACGTTCTCAGTAAGACAGAGGGATGGTTTCTGAGTCTTGATGTTAGAAGGCCTCCCTCACTCGCATGCCGCGAATATTTCAAGGGAGAACCAAGAGGTTCTTCACCGAAGCCTTAATAGATGAATTAATCACCTACAAAGTGTGCCCCAATTGTTTTGTCCGCACCAGTGCGAGCGGAGACCAAAAGACTGAACTCAGAGGTCGCTTCTCATGCCTCGGCGACTCAAGGAGGAATACAAAAGGTGAACCAACACAAAAACAGAGATAATGCGGAAGTGGGAGGAAGGCACAGAGGAAACAGATAGAGGAAGAGAAGACAGCGATGGAAGTGTGAGAGAGAGAGAGAACAGCTCTGCTCCGCTTCCACGCGATGACGTGGCAATGTAGGCAAGGGCACATTGCAACAACCAAATACCGTAACAGTACACAAAAGTTTCATACAGGTAACAGTGTGCAGTCAAAATGAACTTGGGTATGTGGACAGGAGAGGGTTGGAAATAAGGTGCCGGGGCGGTTACAGAGTGATCATCGGACACGTTAAGTCGAGAACGAGACAGCATGAGAGAGGCAGAACGGAGAGAGAAGAAGAAGAAGAACAAGTGCGGGCAAAAAAAGTGAGGTAGTAGGTGCATGTTTATAAGTGGATCAACTTATGTACATGTGTCTGTCGCTCCTACACATCGGGGTGCGGACAGAATGCGGAGGGGCGGGAGAAAAAGGAGGGAGGGAGGGAGGGAGGGAGAGGAGGGGAAGAGAGATAAAGAGAGGGTTGGGAAGTGGGTTTTCGGGGGGATGGAGGGGGAAAAGGGGCAAAGAGAAGAGGAGCGAGGAAGAAGAAAAAACATGAATCTATTTAAAAACACAGCGATACCAAAGTCAGGCCCATTCAGAGAGCAGGTGCTTCGGAAGGACAAAAAAAAAATACAAAAAAAAAAATGGACTAAAAAGGAAGAAGAAGCTGGCAACACAGGAAACAGAAAAAAGACAAAAGAGATTGACGGACAGACGTCTTAGAATGGAGGGAGAATGAAAAGGGAAGCGAGAACGAGAGCAGTACAAATCTGATCACTTCAGCAACAGAAAGTGGTAAAAATCAAGAAAATGAATAACATAAAAAATGTTGAACCTGAGAATTTTTTTTTTTACATTTTTCCACCTCCCCCAAAACAAATCAGTGAACATAAGAATAAAAAAATAAAAAAAATAAAGCAAAGGTAAATTCACATTTACAACCTCCACTCCTTAATGAGTGACATCGCGACTTGCAATCTTCAAGGGCCACATCCGCCCTACTCAAAGAATCTAGAGACAACTGAATCAAAGTCAACATGTTTTCATTCCGATATGGCAGACAAGGAAAAATACGAGATTGCCTCTGTATTCAATTTACTCGCTACAGATAAAGTGGAAAAAGCGTTTTTGGAATGCTGGAGGAAAATAAAGAAAATGCCCAGAATTGGATAGACAAGTGAAAGACACGGAGGAGACAGAGACAAAAAAAAAAAAAATCTGTTAGAGAGAGACATGATTAGGCAAGCATCTCATCTCACCAGAGCATGCTGGCCGGACACACACGCACACGCACACAGATCAACATTCAGCATGCACAGTATGCAAACACATACGTGCAATGTAGCTACATCTTCACCCTATACAGTTATTATGCAGCGCTAATTACTTGCATGAGCAAAGCATTATGGAGTCATTCAAACAGCGCGGATGAAGAGTGAGGAGTCCATCGCTTCGAGGTGTGTCCGAAAAAGTTCCAGGGCCAGTGTCGCAAAAGCTATCCTTCAAATCCGAACTGCAAACTACAAGTGAAGAGCGCAAACGCAACACAGACATCTCCATTTTTCAGGCGGGTCGTCAAGTTTGCATTTCATTTATGACCAGGTTCAAGCAAATCCTTTTATTTATCGTATTCTACGTGATTAGAAATGAACCCTTTCATGCACCCTGTAACCTGATAATATGGTAAGCTGTCCACTGTAGTAACCACTGTCCCTGAAAGGGTTGAAGACATTTGCAATTTTACCCATAAAGTGACCATTGGAAAAATCATCAAAAAAAGTACAACTCGTTTGGTCCTCTTTGATGTCATTTTATCGGAAAACCAGACAGCTCCAGAATTTTTTTTTTTCCCCCACATTTTTCACTTAACTATAAAATCTCTTAATAATATTATCGTTTGTGAATAAAAAAACAACCCTACGCCTTAAAACAAATGAAGCCTTATTTTTCGTCACAGTTATCGCGCTACCAACAGCGGAGAAGGCTTTGTCGTAGAATCTGCACACCTGGTTGAGAACACCAATCTCAGCGATGAGTTTCATGACATTGTCTCTCTTGGATTCTTTCACGTAAAGGATAATACTTTACGCTTAAGCTACAGGACGGTAGCAGTGGCTTGATGACAAATCATGCACGCTGACATGTTTGAGGATGAGTTATGTTGGCGTGAATATGCGTGGGCTCATGAATGGCTTCAATGCAGATGGGGCAAGCGTCAGTAAAATGCATACCGCATTTGTGGGTTTCTGAAATAATATTTTTGGGGAGTTATTTGGATTTGCAGGGTGAGCTAATGCAACATCAAACGATGCGGTGATTGGCAGTGTGTTAGTATGCGCGGCTCTATTCTTGTCCAAATGGCGCTTGTCAGTTTTTGCGCTCGGGCTCGTCAGGTTTTCCCTTTTGAAGTAATCACCCTGGAGACTAATGCAATTTCCCGGCTGTCCGTCTCTGTCACGCCTTCATGTACACTTGGAAGGATTTTTACGGGATCTGCCATGTACAGCTTTGTCATCTCGGCCATCTTGATGTCATTCACATCGGGTCTCATTGATGATCCCCTTTGAACTTGTGAAAATAGGGAAAAAAAAAAATCCCACAGAGCAAGGCCCAGTGAAGAGGGATGTTGCACCAGCGTGCTACATTCTTCCCGGCAGGGAAGTGTAGGATGCTCGAGGTCACAGGTGTCAAACTCAAGGCCCGGGGGCCAGATCTGACCCGCCACATCATTTTATGTGGCCCACGAAAACAAATCATGCGTGTCAAACTTCCCTGATCATTGCTCAAATATGGACCGAAATGTCAAATTGTCATGTGTAATAAATAACGTTGAGACTAACTTTTTTTTTACCCTGTTTACACTCACTTGGACAATAATTGCACAAACATCAAACAAACAGTTGACTGATTTCAAAACTAGTGATCCATCAATCTGACTTGTTATGTACAAGTAATAATCCGATCTGATGATTAAACATTTATTCCGTTTCACTGTCGTAATGGCCCGCCGAGGGAAGACGTAACTCCAAAGTGGCCCGCGACAAAATTTTGAGCAGGCGTGCTGTTGTGGTGAAGCGGCCACCTCTCTGTTAATTGTGACCCACATTGAAGGGGGGGAAGCTCGTAGTTTGGATCTGTCATATCACTATTGTGCCATCAGTCCCGCAACTTAACTGACAGACCTCATCTAACAGGAGCAGGCGACAAGCAATAATTCCTCATGTGCTCAGAGAGCTGCAATAGAGGCAGCCCTCACGCTCCCCCCGACCCCCCCTGCCCATTATACATAGTTTGAGAGAGGCGTGAGGTTACATCTTTATTAGTTGAGCCAGCCTCAGCGCTGTCCTCTGTGTCGAGACTCTGGAGGCGGTCGGTTAAAGGAGACTTTGGCACAGACACAGGGATTACGGCTCTATCTCTGCCACGTCTAAACTATACGGCATATAGAGAGCTATTGAGGACTATCGGCGGGCTGACATTTAGTCTGCACAATCCCATCTGGCTCAAGGACACAGCTTTCATCAGTCATGTAATAAGGCGAAACTCATCCCCTCAATACTTGAGAATGCAAAAGAATAGGATTGCTTCCAAATGTCAATAGAAGCGTGTCGGAGTGTTTGGTGGCGATAGCGACAGTGCGGACGAGTGAAGCTCGACAGACCGCATTACACAGATGCTTTTGGAGGACACTTAAAGCAGACCAACATGAGATCATGATGTCGCCTTGAAGTTGCTCGTAAGCGATACCGGACCCACAATCGCCGAGGCCTACTTAAGCCAGTTCCTTTCATGTTTGACATTCATGTTTTATTGCACTGAAACATCTTATGAACTTCAAGTTTCCTTTCATATATATTTTTTTTAAATCATGGAATTACATATCTGGAGGAGTTGTTTATGTTTGATGGCGCGACCGTATTTAATGGATACAACCGGGAGACTAAAGCCACAGTAAAACATTGAATTGACTTTCACAATGGACATAATGATGAACATTTCCAGGCTTCAGTTACATTGTTTACTTGAATCTATATTTTCTTTTTTTGGGCTGTTGTTGCTGATTACCTAAAAAGCCTCAATTATATTTCTCATTTGTTTTAGACAGCTAAAACGGTCTGGGGTGAAATTGACCAGAAATAACACAGGACAGGACAGGCGCACAGGACACAACAGACTGAAATATATCATGATGATACTTAATGGTTATTTGAGTTTACCTCGCTGTCTCTATTAAAAGCACGCTGAAGATAGAGGGATCCTTGTGGTAATATAGGATGCTTCAAAATAAGGCTATGGCCCGCGACAAAATGTGCAAAAAAAAAAAAAATGGAGGAGGGAAAAAAAGGAGACATCTATTTGGGGAGATGCCCATAACTAATGGAGGTGCAGCTTCTATCGTAGCGCAGGTTTCTGTTTGAAGATCCGCGGCGCGGATACAGATGTTAGCAATGGGTTCCATTCCATTTAGTTTTAAGAGGCGCTCCCCTGTTGTTGCTCAAGTGTAAACGAGGGACACGCTGAATCCCCGCCACTTTAGTCTTGAGAGAAGCTCCGTTTCTATTTTCTGGTTGTGTTATAATAAAGAGGCTGAGAAAGAATTGGATTTTGTCATTATTTCATCGCTTAAACAGGAAATGTAATCGTCAATGGCGTTTACATGGTCAATGCATTTTGGGCTTGTCCTGAAATTTCACCTGAAAGCCAAATAATGTTTTCTGAGTAGTGTATGTTTGATTGTAAACGGCAAATAAAAACTGCCTGTTGGACAGGGAAGTACACAAGTCGCGTTGCATCTTGACATTTATCCGTTTCGACCTTGTTAAATCCTTGTGGACAATTAGCATGTGAACTGATCGACACCGCCGGTGTCTTTGCACGGATGCACATCGTTCATTATTAATAAGTTGATTAACGTTAATTTGAGCAAATTTGTTATTTCAGAAGTACTTATCAAACTGGCAGCACTTCACATTAATCAGTCCCCAAGAAGTAGCTCAATGTTATTTACGCTACATTTGCTGGTGATCTTTTCTGTTCGGTCAATGCAGCTCAATAGAGTCCTTCCGTTACAAAAAAAAAAAAAAAATCTGTTTATCGCGGGTTGGGAACTGTTTCAAGTTTGAGCGACCTCAATCTAATTCACAAGTGCCATAAACTATGATGATGAGTCATTGCGGCAAACTCGCTGGCTATTTTATTTTATTCTCCTCTCGCTCATTACTAGTAATAAAGACGTCGACTTAAACGTGAATGTGAGAGTCGAAAATGTCAACATCGAGATGGAAATGGAGATGTCTTCCCGCCGTTTAGTCCAACTTCAAGCCAAGGGTCCAACACAAGAGCTGCAGCTTGACCACGAATCAAACAAACCGACGTGCGAGTATGACTGGGGAGTGCAAGCGAGGTTCCCGCTGGATGCAACAAGTGCAGCAGCTGCAATTTCAGGTTGATGCAATGGCACAAAAGAGCAGAGGAGGCAGGGGCAGTTTAATAAAAACACCGAGGGGGTGGGCACACTGGGCGTCATGCTCTCGGCGTGCAAGTGGTGTTCCTTTCGCTTTCCTTCTCTTTCTCTCTCTCTCTCACTCCTCTCATCATGCAAACACCTCTTTCATGTGATCCAATTCTTGGGTCTGCATGACAACAGGGCCATACCATGCAAAAAAAAAAAGAAATCATAGATTGGGGAGAGGGTTCTGCACACAAGGCCTTACAAAGCAGTCAATGCAAATAGCTACGCTACGCTATAGCACAGGGAGCGGATTTGGAGAAATTAAGCGAATCTGGGAGAGGGTTTTAACAGTCTAAATGGAGCGCGGTGGTCTTTCAGGATTTTCTGTCTGTCTTGCTTTCTTTGTTGTTTCCCTTCTGTTTCAATAAGAGAAGCTTTCTGAAACAAAGGAGTAACAAAAGAAAAGAGAGAGCACACCAACCTTCTCGAAGCTCTGAGGGATGGAAGGGGGTTGATGCGGAACACAATGACGTGAGGAGAGAGAACGAGGAAACACAGAGAGAATAAAAACGGCCTGCGCAAAGCCACGCACACCCGCGTGCGCACACACAAAACCACACGTACACACAATTGAGAGGCTACAATCGTTAGAAATGGTTCAACAGAGATTATGTGGTTGCACAATGGTGCCAGTAATGTCTTTTTTTTTTTTTGGGACCTCAGAAATTCCATATTTTAATGGTAGCACATTTTAATTGATTGACCTCGTACAGTAATGGTCAAACTCAGAGGCGGGCAAACTTATGCTCAGGGGTCACATTTAAGTTCTAAAACGGGTAGATGGGCCAGGTCATTTGTAGAGATGATCAAATTTTTAAATTTCTTAAAACATATCGGTAGATAATGAGGAAAAAGCTTTTGCTAACTAAGATTTGTGAAAAAACAAACAATTCAAAAGAATTTTTTATGAAAAATAATTAATTTGGGGCAAATAGTATATATCAAGCATGCACCATATTTCTTTTTGATAATACAATACTTCATTCTCTTCAAATTGCTGAATTCATAATTTGATTGTAAATATTTTCACGGTAATAAAAAAAAATGAATAAAATGTTAAATGCACAGTTGACTGTATGTAAAATTGATTGTATTATTTAACCCATCTGCATTTGAAATTTAAAAGCTGCTTGGTTTTAGACGATTGCATATTTAGGTATAATTTGCGTTAACTTTTATATTTGATCAACATGTAGGCTTCCTGCGCTACGGTATTTTTGCGCCGGTCATGATGGTGGCATTTAGAGAGCTAATTTATTTTTGGGACGATGGTATTTGCTGTTAAGAAAAAAATTGAGCAACCACTGATATTAAGGCTTGGGTGGGCCGGATTAAAGAGCGGAGTGCGCCTCAGGCTATAGTTTGCCCACCGCTGGTCTAACTCCTCAGGTCAGACAGCCTCGGGTACAAAATCGATTTGAGTAGACAGTGACGTCTCCATGCAGTTAAACCGTGGTGTGTTGGCCCACCCAACCACGGTTTAAGGTGGACTTGTTAAGGTGAAAAATACCAAATAAGACCAAAAACGTACTGCAGACAATGGATTGATTAGTAGTACTTGTTGAAAGAGCACAGCAAATGGAAATGATGTGTTTGGTTATCACACGACAGCACCCCAGCAGTGGTGATTTCACAGTGTTTCTCTGATGCTAACGCGTGTGTTTTTGTTGCATGTTGCGTCTTCAGGCCCTACCTCGCACGTAGAGGTTGGCTGGCGAGGAGTAGCGCACACCTTGAGAATTTGTGGCCACGCACTCGTACTTCCCTTGGTCGGTTTCCTCGCTGTTCTCGATCTGGAGAGCTCCTGAGGAGAGGGGGATGAAGAGAGGGAAGAATGATGTTCGGCGGAGTCAAAGACATTTTTGACGGCATCCGGCTAGCACACGGTTCATGTCTGTTTGTTCTTTTCCTGTGTCTTGGACATTGTGACCCTCGGGGATCTCCACTTGTATTGCTTCCGCATCCATCAAAGTCTGTTTTGTTGTTATTTCTTTTGTAGTGAGGCACCGTTTGAACAGAGTACAACAAATATAAGGCAAGTCTTCCTTGCAAACAGAGGATGGCTTGAGATACGAGTGACTCACCTTTCGAGTTTGTCGAGATACAAGCGCTCTTTCGGCTGATATTTTGCTTTGACTTGAGAGCAAAAATATGAGATGCCGTATGGTGATGGTGAGCTCAACTCCCTTAACAACAAGCAGTGGTTTGGCGGGAAGAGAACATTTCCTCAAAAAAAAGAGGCTTCAAGCTATTTACTGCCACTCTGAGTTGACGTTTATTGTCACATTAACCATAAAACAAAAACAATGACACATTGTGTCTTTAATACAACCACATAGCTTTGTCTGAGAGTTCATTTAGCTTAATGCTAACCAACAATGCAACGGCTAGTCTCACTCTACCTTATGCTAGCTAAAAAGATAGCTTCTACTCCTGAAAGCTAGCATTCGTCCGGATTTGCAACCTTGTTACTGTAACTACAGTGACAGGTAGTATAAACACCAACTAAATCATGTCATAAATGTTTTACCATTATGCTAAGCTGAGCTAATAATTTATTACAGATTGTTAGAGAATATCTCGCAGAAAATCAGAAAACAAATGGATCAAAATGTGTTGGCCAGTGTATGTAATTACTTTGTGCTTTTATTAAGCACAGTATTATGGAGTGCTATTCCCCTTATTAAAAAAAAAAAACAAAACTTTTTCAGAGGATTTCAGTGGGGAAAGATGATTTGCGATACAAGTGTTCAAGCACGGACTCATACATTTTTTTTAAACTCATATCGCAAGGCACCACTGTATAATCTGTGACCAAAATGTGACACGAAATTAATGCACAAAGTTTGTGTATCAAAAGGAAGCCCCCAAACGACTTTTTGCCAACTTTAAAGCGACAGTTATGTCCTTTTCCTTTTGGTTTTAGCAGCTAAGTGGCACACAGTCCCCAGCACCCCACAGCAACATCCCAATGATACTCCTTAACTCATCCGCTTGCCTCTTTTATTTCCTCAATTTTCATTCTCCTACTTTCCGTGGCTCCCTAAACTAAAATAATTCCCAACATTTGTCAGGTGTTCTTTTCTTCACCTGGTTTCAAAGAGTTCTATTCTTTCAGCTACTTCATTCCCCCCCTCGCTAACGGGCCTTTTGAATTACCAGCAGTGATTTTTTTTCCCTCCCTTTTTCGCAGCCTACCGTGTCACATTCATCTCATCCGAAACCAACTTTGACATGAAGCCTGAGGAGGAAGTACATAACCAGGCTTTCCACTCTGCTGCATTGCGCTGAGCAAAGACAAAAAAGAAGAAGAAAAAAAAAAAAAGGTATCACAATCCAAAATACACATCTCATACACACGCTAACCGTAGAACAAAAGAAACCCACACAGTCATACACACACACACACACCAATACATCCATGCACAAGCTATAGCATATTATACAGTGAGGCACATTAAATCCCTCAGGCTGGTTAAATATATCTACAGTTCATGGAAAAAAATAAACTGCTCAGAAAAAAATCAAGGGCATATTTGGAGTTACATTGTTTTGTTTAAGTGTTCCCTTTATTTAAGATAAGATAAGAAAACCTTTATTGTTTTATTTATGTATTTTAAAAATATATATATTTGAGCAGTATATATGCAAGCTAGGGGCGGCCCGGCTAGAGACCCTGTCAAATGAATTTAGGGAATTGTTTCGAAATGGCTTATAAATGTCGGAAGGTAATCGCTGAAAATGTCTGGCGACGAAGAACTAATTATCACTGAATTGTGGCCAATGAGACTAAAACTGTTTTTTCACCATTTCAATTTTCCACATTTATTTGGGGGTATGGTTTAAACAGTGAAGAAGAGTGTAGACACATTTAGGTTTTGAATTGAATGGTGGAAATCGCTAGCCAGCTATCAATGGCCCTAAAAGTGATGGGCCTACTATAAGATAACTACAATGAAAACTTCCACTTGTGAGCTATGCCCATATCGTTAAAAATAAGCTGCTCAACATCCTGTTTCAATGGCTCAAACTTTACTTGGTTTTAGTGTTTAGGATCCTCATTTGTAGCCGTACATTAATTTCAGGGTGGGATAAATGCTTCTGTCTTGGTGGAGGCAAATGCTCCCGTAAAAATTTGTGAACCGGGTCCAATTGCAGCAAATCAAAAGGCCAACGAACTGCCCCGGATTCCCGACTTCTTACTCAAATAGGATCGCTTTCTGATGTCGGACTTAATGCTATTTGAAGAGTAAATATCTATAGTTGCAGTCACGAAATAAAACTGCGTTGGAATGTTGCCGCGAGTGTTATTCTACATTACAACCTGAGTTGAAACATCTGCATAATGTTGGTTTAATGAACACCGTTTCCGCTCGTATTTCCCGTTTAAATTAAACGTAGCGCAGTATGGCGTAGAGAAGATAACTGTCGCAAAACATTGAATCTAATGGTGGGTTCTCATATCCAATTGCATCCAGCTTGTACACCATTAAAAAAGAACTAATAAAATGAGTTCTATTACCTCGTAAGTGGCTTTTGTGTGTGTTTTTGTGCATCGTTCTCCAAGGGGGATAAAGTTCGATTTTTTTTTTCCCGGCCATTTTTGTCTCAACGTTGAGAGCTCAAGCTCGGCAATCAATCATCCACCTGAGCCATTTTTTTTTCCAGACACATGAAAGGAAAACAGCTCATGGCTCTCCTGTTTTTCTTTGGGTCCCCCCCCCCCCACACTTTGTTCACAATGAAGGGAAAGAATGTGATGAATTGGATTGAGAAATCCTTGAGCCTCAGTGTCCTCCAGAAACAAAGTGTAGTCAGGAGTACGATCAGACGGTGCTGACGTCAGATCGACATAAAGAACACAAAAACTTTTGTCTAGCGCAAAGGTCACAATATGCGTATACTGCGGATACACAAACGAGCAGCGGTCAATCAGTCGGCTAAAGCGTGACCTACAAAAAGAGAGAGTCGAGGAAAAAGAAATGGACAAGTAAGCTGCTTAAAGAGACGTGATCTCTGTCAACCCAGTTGCAGGAAAATGGTTGAAGGTGTTTGATGACTATCTTGGCTGAAATGATACTGCTTGAACTGATAGCTGGACCGGCTCAAATGGAACACCTGCAGTCAAATGCGGTAGAACGCCACCAATCTTTCAAGAAAACAAAACAAAACACATCCTTCTTGTGCAACTTTGCCCAACCTTTCCCCACACCACGATTCGTAGGTAAGGCAGGTCTATCCATTGCTCAGCAGTCAACCTCCGGGGCCAGATTGCAAGCCATCTGCTAGGCCGTCGGTGTCAGAGTCCGTTAAGTGCTTTGGTAAACTCTGCGACTCCTAGTCCCTCATGCCATATATTGACAGATACACTGTCATACTTTTTAAATTTTTTTTTTTTTAGCTTTTATGCGTTGCCATGTCAAACAAAACATGCCTTTAACCCTTTCAGGGACAGCGGTCACTACAGTGGACAGCTTATCATGTTCTCAGGTTACAGGTTATCGTTATTGGTGGATGAAAGGGTTGAACGCTATTTACATGCACATTCAGCCTCCCAGCAATGCTACAATATACACAAAACAGAAGAATCCAATCACAAATGACCAGTTGCATTATTAATCATTGTATCGGGAATGTTTTATGTTTTTGTCATGTTGTTGGATGAAAATTGATTTTGAACTGCTCCAGATGTACCTCGCACAGTTGTGTGTTGCGATCAGGGGGCTTTTATATACTATTGATGGTTTCTATAATTGCACGGCGGGGGTATTAAAAAGCAGATTAAGTGGGGTAAATCCCAATTGAAGGCCCCAGGTAACGAATACAAAACAGACCACTGCCGGTATATTCCTACAAATAGATCCTGGCCGGGCCATTAAGGCGTTGCCCTCCGGGAAACAACAAAACCCCCTCAAAGGCGCTGTTTATGTACCCTTGACACTTGACTTTTACAGCTAGGGAACCTTTTCAGCCCTGAAAAGGGCACAATGGAGTTCGATAATTAGCCCGATGGAATACATTAATGTACTTTGTGTCTGGCGGGACAGAAATTGATTGCGACGCTATTTCTGGAAATATGGAATCTTTCTAAAATAGGGTGCAGTTAATATCCCAAACCATTTTTTTTCATCCTCACCCATACGAGCCACAGGAATATTTCCACCTCTCAATAAAGAAAAAGAGAGAGAAGGAAAATAACATGTCCCCAAACACACCCCTGGCTGCGATCCAGTGAGAGTTGGCAGCCGTCTCCAAAATCAGAGGCAGAGCTTGGAAGGTGCCCTCCTTTGAGTGATCTGAAAGGAGCATCATCCACACAACATCCTGCCACTATTTTGTGCGTCGCTCAGGTGTAATTGATTTCCTCTAAGGCGTCTCACGGCAGCGTTTGGTTCATTATACAGCAACATTTTGTTGCTCGGCGCTGTAGCGCTTTTGTTGAGTTGAAATCCCATTAAAACCTCACACTGAAACCGTACCTTGCAATTTGTCTTGATACTCTTTTCATCGGAGTGATACTTGGCCTCACATGCTGCACTTGTGAATAAGTCTCATGTCTGGGTAACTCTCAACAAAGGCCCAAATAACTATTGGAGAAGGTGAGATGAAATATATGACGGTAGTTAATGAAGTACAAGACAACTTGCGAGATGCGTGAGAGCCGAGCCTACGTCAGCAGTGCGGCGAGCAGCAGAGGACGAGCTGAATAACGCAGAGTGTCAGTTTTGCTCTTTCTTTGGCCACTTTTCTTTGGCTTGTCAACAAGGAGTGCAAAGAGAAGAAGCAGACCGACGATGTACGTCAAAAGCATCACCAACACTCATAATCAACATCGGGGTAGAGTGTTTGGAGGTTTTAATGGTGATTTGCTTGTTTTTACAATTTTTTTGGACAGTCACATTTCTTTTTAACACCAGCTGCAGGTGAAAAGCTTCCACAGGAAGTTATCGATCCGCAAGGCAAGACGCTGCTCTGAAAATTGGGATTTTCTTTTTTCATTTCTTATTTTCATTGTTGACTGAACAAAGACATTCTGAAAAGAAGCTGGTCATAGGACGCATATTTAAACCACAGGTTAGCATTTTGTGTAGATTTTATATCGCTTTTGTGGCCACCATTGAAAGAGGAAACAAAATCTTACGTCACGTTTGGGGCTCCATGCATATATCGCCACATTTTCCTACTGATGTCCAAGTCAGCGTGTACAAGTGGCTCATTATATTAATAGCATAATGTTGTAATGAATCTAATTTGAGATGGATTTTTTTTTTTTCAGTGAGCATTACTCAGCCTGCGAACTACAGCCAGAGCTCTTGCAAGTGAGGGATTTGCACCAGCTGCCAATACTCCTTCCTTACAGAAGTTAAGGGAACTGCAGCACATTTCTTGTAAAAACTAAGCCACGCTATGCCTTTAGTTAAAACCTTATTTTGAAATATACTGGTAAATTAATCTTATCAGCCATCACCTTACTTCTATGCTGGTATGACAGAATATTAACAACCATTAACTGACTGTATTTTATGCTTGAATGAGCGTTAATGTCATGAAAATGTGACTTTTATCAAGATTTTATGACGATGACAGTTTGGCTCTGATTTTTTATTTAATTTTTTTATTTCCAACAGTAAAAACTGTTTACAATGGGAAGCGATGGAACGGATTGTGTTTAACTTTCAAGGCCGTGGCCCTATCATAGGAAATTGTTTGGCATAGATATAGTATGGTAGCGATGTGATGGACTTGAGCAAAAAAAAAAAAAAAAAAGAAAGCAAAACATCCATGAATAAGGTCAATCCTTTGACAGCCAGGTAGGTCAGCTGTTGCAAGAAATGTTTGAAAGTTTCCGAAGCCACATTTGTACAAATGGAGATTGCAGATGAAAGGTTGACAAAGGGGTAGGAGCGATCAGTGAAGTGTGTCGGCCGACAGCGGCGAGATAGCGAGGCCGGCGGAGCGGACGAGCCCCGCAGAACGTGGGTTTGGGCTACAGCAAAACGATTTTGCCTCACCATCACTTTCATTACCCCTGAGGACAGCTGAGGCGAAAAATAGCTGAGGAATGCTTGTCTGCTTATTCCAGGAGAGACTGTGTGGTCTCTGCAGAGGAGCACAAACAAAGCTGAGCAAACTGTCTTTAGTGCAAAACGCTCATCCCTCGATCTGCCTGTCAATACACACGTGCTCTCCTGTCTCCAAAAGCAAACATTCTTTCATTTGACGTGATTTCAGTGTGAGTAACAACAACAAAAAAAGCATCACATCAGTAAAAAAAAAAAAAAAACCCACCTGACACCATAGGCTTTGGTTTTGAGCTGTTTCTGTGATGCATGTTTAATTTAGTGGGTTTGTGAGGCATGAGTTGCTTTGTAGCACGGCTGGAGTTCCGGAGTTAAAATAATACGTGTATAGGGTGAGGCACCTATTAAGTATCAGGAATTTGATTAAAAACAACGACGTTCCCCTTGGCTGCAGAATTAAGCAAATTCATAAAATTGGCTCTGAAAAGGTTGTAAATCCCCACGCCGTCAGTGAGGAGCATGTAATCTCTCGATCGTAATCACAAATAAAGCATGATAATCGCCAAATTTAGAGCAATGGGGATTTTATACGATAGCATTTCTAAGCTTGAGATGCATTTTTTTTTTGGTTTTGCTTTTTGTAAACCTGAATGGGCTTGAAAATGAAGTGGAAATTTCTCACCTGATCGGAGCTGTTTGATGCGGCCTTGACTGGTGCTGGGTTCAACAGGCAGAAAGTCCTTGAACCAGGAAATCTCCGGGTCGGGGATGCCACTGGCGGCACACAGCATGGTGGCCGTCCTTGTGCGCTCCACCACCTTCAACTGGGGGCCCATATCGATACTCGGGAAGCCAAATGGCAACAGGTCCTCTGGAGGGGGGTAGAAAATAAACAGGATTAATGGACGATGCGCCATTGGCAATTAAGCATTAAAATAAACCAAAGGAGGCAAATGGTCAAAAAGATTGTACGGGGAAGAATAATTAGCGCAGAACTGGTGTTCTGACCTTATAATGCGAGCACACATTTTTAGCTTTGACTTTCTGTGAGTGGGATTCTAAAAAACATTTTTTGGAAGAGACCTCTACAGACTGTGACATCTTCAAAAATGTGCCTTACATTTGTGAAGAGTTTGAATCCATTTTTCATCTCTGCACTGGCACAATCACAACAGAACAAAATCCATCCTTTTTTCTAGCACCTAATGTCCCAATGCCCCATTCACAACACCCTTTGATGAAAACCTTGCTACAACACGCCTTTGTGTAGAATGTGCTGTGCATGGCCATTTATTTGATACCCGTGCCATGCACACAGTCGGTTTGGTAGATACTACAACATTAGTGTCTCCTTCCATATCATTATGAGATAACACTAAGTTTTCACGTGCTGATAAAGCATTCTTGTTGCCACTGGCATCCAACACATGATGTTCGGAAACTTTCAGCGTGTAAATCTCTCTTTAAATCCACCCTGAACCAAAATTATGATCCACCATGTGGGGTATGTCACAAAAAAAACCCAAGACTGGTGTCACAAAAGCTACTCGGGTTCTCTATCTATCTATCTATTTAGCTAGCTAGCTAGCTATTTAGCTAGCTAGCTATCTATCCTAGCTAGCTATCTAAAGTCCGCATGTCAAAGAGTGCTGCATGGGTTAATCCAGCGTGCATGAAATCCTCCCTTGTCTCCCTCAGAGCAGAAACATAAGACATCCACACAAACGCGGTGATGTGAGAGCCACTGTTCCCCGCCTTTCACATCTGCAGTGGCTTGAAAGAGGAGATACTAGCAAAGACAGCGGGGCCACTATATCCGTCCTCATTAAAGCTGCAGGTTTTTTTTTTCTTCTCTCAGCTAGCTAGTCATTAGGTGATTTAGTAGGCGGGCAGACGCGCAGTAAGGTTCTCCGTGTTTCTGACAGGCCGTCACTACAGGAGGGTAAACATACCGCCCAATTGTTAAGAGAGTTACTGAAAAGAAAAGTCATAATAGTCATCACACACACACACACACACACACACACACACACACACACACACGACCCCCACCTCCACCCCCCCGCTGACGAACACACGCCGACAGTGACGGTGGCATTGAACGGTGTGCATGTCACGGTAAGGCTCTGTGTGCTTGTAACGATTCCTGCATGTCTAATAATGATGCAGAGATATGCTCGGTAACAGCAGTTGCAATTAGGAGCCGGGATCAAGGGGACGGGCAGGGCGAAAGGGGTAATAAGGACTTGTTAGCAGTAATTGTTTAAATGCAGCGACTATTAGGGAGGCCGATCTGGAAAGAGTGCCCGTGCCTCTGGATGTCTGATTATGTCGTAAGGCTGCGGACAAGTATGTGTGCATGTTGTGTACGTGCTGGGATTTTTGGCGTGTGTCTGTGGCAATTATGCACACATCTCGTATGGATACTTTGTGGATACTTTCCTGGTGAGGTGTTTTTGGGATATAAAAACCCACAGGAGGTCTTGAGATAGGAATTTTTGTTCACAACTGGTCTTGTGGCGGCCCGGTGGGTGAGTGGTTAGTGCCTCAGCCTCACAGTGCAGAGATCGTAGGTTCGATCTGGCTTCGACCTTCCTGTGTGGAGTTTGCATGTTCTCCCCTCTCCCCGTGCCTGTGTGGGTTTTCTCCGGGTACTTCGGTTTCCTCCCACATTCCAAAAAACATGCATGGCAGGCTGATTGAACACTCGAAATTGTTCCTCGGTATGAGTGTAAGCGCGGATGGTTATTCGTCTCTGTGTGCCCTGCGATTGGCTGGCAACCGGTTCAGGGTGTACCCCGCCTACTGCCCGAAGACAGCTGGGATAAGCTCCAGCACCCCCTTGTGAGGAAAAAGCAGATTGGAAAATGGATGGATGGATGGAACTGGCCTTGGACTGGCTCAGTGTCCCTCTGGTGGAACTCGACGAACGTCCCAATGGCAAGGAATTGCGAGCATCCTTCCTTTCTGAAAGTGCTGCATCGTGACTCAAATAAGTGGACCAAAAAATAAATAAAATAAAGGGCCAAAGTTTTGTCCACACTTTAGCTAATGTTTGCTATCTATTCTTGTCACTTGTGGAACCTGATCCATCCCACCCACCCACCGAGTAGAAAAGCAGTCGCTTCCAGTTCCATATAGATACGAATACGCAAACAGGCTCTCAAGTAAATAGGATTAAGCATCTCGATGACAGCAATCCAGATGGTCAGACACGTAATCAAGCATCCATCAGCCCCTCTGCTTCCTCCTTTCCTTGCGCTTTTAACCACTACCTCTCTTGCACATACACTCCGACACCTCCTCCAGACCTGCGCCTATAATTACATATTCCACTTTCCCGCAGCCGAAAAGCAATTACCAGTGGCAATTTCCTTGGCTGATAAATCAAGCCTACGGAAGTCTCCTGGACGGAAGGACAACACAAGCTGCCCAAATGTTGTCAGCTTTGGAGTCCGTCCCAAATGTCGACCGTGGCCACGTCAAAGGTCCGCTCGTTGTTCCTGTTGTATTTCTTCGTCACCGCCTGCAGCCTCCTGCTACCTTAACATATGACAGACGTGCGCCATCTGCTTCCAGGCGCTGTTCTGTGGTGGAACACAGCTTCAATGGTGATAGAATCAATCTTTTTTTTTTTTTTTTTTTGGAATTCATCTACTTTGAAGTGTCATGGTCGGATGGGAACATCAAGCAGCCGCAGTTGAGAGTTGATGAGAGAAATGACGCCAAAAGGCAAAAGTAATGAATCTCATAGCTTGTGCGGCCCCTTTTGAGAGAAATAACCCGGCGATAAAAACGCAGGGTGTGGACCACCTCTCCCAAGTATCCCACGGCGGATCAATGCTAATGATCCCGCCGAACTGGTGAAAGGGGGAGGAGGGACAGGAAGTTGAGCAGGGATATCGATAGGCAGGTCAGAATGGTCCCTTGAGGTAAAGAATACGCTATGCCTTACATCTGCTGCCCTCTGCCCCGCCTCAACCCCCCCTCCCCCCTCCCCCTTCTCCTGAGAGGACTGATATGGTCTTTTTATCGCCACGCCGTCTGTGACTTGCATCGACTCTCTGGGTGTTAATAACCGCACAGCACCGCGCAGGGGTCAGGGCGGATCCGTTTTGTGTATTCCAGGTCGATATTTATCAATTCACGGTTGACCATTTAAAGTCAAATTCCCTGCAACACAGATTCTGACCACAATCTTCTTGAATAAGGATTAACTCGCTGAGGTGTTGGCTTTTTGTGTGTGTGTGTGTGTGTGTGTGTGTGTGGGGGCGGTTGTTGGGTTTTTTTTTTTGTCATGCCGCTACACCACAGGGTACCAGTGGAGGTGTTAGGATGACAATGGAACCGGAAATTGAAATTATAGCGACATCTCTCCTGGCTGCTACGCCATTTATGCAACACAAAAGTCACAATCGGTGAACTTCATTAACAAAAAGGACAACTGAACATTGAGTGTGTTTGTTGCTTTCTTGTAGAGAATCTCCTCCCGGGGCGTGAGCGGTATTCTCTCGTATCATAATTTGCGTTCATGTCATTTCAATGAATAACAATATTCTGCAGAGGGGAAAAAGTGGAGAACACCCCTCATATTTTCATCAATATTTTATCATACCTTTTCATGGGACAATAATGGAGAAATTACACTTTGCTAGCCAGTGTGCGGCTTGTATAACGGTGTGCATTTTCTGTTCTTTAAAATAACCCAACAGACAGCCATTAATGTCTAAACTGCTGGCAACAAAAGTGAGTACAACCCGATGTGAAAATGGTCAAAAACGTGATAATGAGTGTATTTTTGTGAGCTACTGCAACAGCGGGCTCACCTGCATTACGCAAAAACACTACGCATCTCTTATTTGTCATCCAATATTTTTTTTTCCAAAATTATAGATTGTGTTCATATTTACTTTACTTTGGTAAAAAAAAAATTATGGTTTCTTCTTTTTAGACAATGACACCGGAACATTCCAGTATTTCCTGTTTGACTTTTTTTTTCAATACAAACATTAATGTGTTGCTGTTCTATCACTGTTGACGGATGGATAGTCAGACGCGCGCATATTCTGCAGATAGTGCACATGTCACAGGTACTGGATGCTACGTTACAGTTGACTGGTGAGGAGAAGAGGGATGGGATGTGGGAGCTACAGGTATCGAGCCTGCCTCCTGGATGAGTCAGCGGCTGCTTGAAATAGATACTGCAGGCATGGCCTTGATCACGCTTTTCACCAAATGAATCATTTATCAGACACAAACACTGCAGTAAAAAAAAAAAAAAAAAAAAAGTCCAGCTTATTTTTCATCTCCTGGATAAATTGATAAGACAGCATATGGAAAACCGAGCAGCGCGTCTATAAACACAGAGCGTGTCAACAGCGTTTTCAGGAACATTGGCAAGGACCAGCCGGCATTGTTTCCCGGAGCTGCGTGTATGTGCGCATGACGAGGTTTGAGCACGTACATTTTGGCCCGACGATGTTTACAGAAGGACATCCGGGCCGGGTGCCCAAAAAGCAGGCGGCAAAAGCAACCGGATTCGGGCAAATATGCAATTCATTCTTCGAACCGACACACATGCTCAAAATGACACACAGAGTCAAGGACCTCGCGCAAATGATGCAAACACACAAAACCGATTCCAGTTTTTCTCTCCCGTGTCGCTAAGCTTTTTGTTCCCGTCCCTCACGCGTGCACGCACAATGGAAAAGAAAAAAAAAAATCAGCATTGTCCAGGTTGGGAGACCCGCTGCTTCTTCTTCTTCCTCCGGTTCATTTGTGTCAGGAAGGGCCACGTGCATGAAAGAAGCCTCGAATAAAAGACGATCGCGGGAGCCTGATTCAGGAATAATCTGCAGTCCTCGGAGGCTCTAATGCTTTGACTCCTATAGACTGAGGAGGAGCACTTTAAATGCTAATGGCCCTTTATGAGAATAGATCACCGCACAACACAATGAAAAATAAGGCCCGCGAGTCACCTCTATCTACGAGCCTTGCTTCGGCTCAGCACTCTGATCCGCCAGCGCTAAACACACACATCAAACACAGCACCTACACACACACATTTCCATGCAAACAAGCGTGGAGAATCCTGTGCGCAAGGAGGAGAAAAGGGAGACAGGAAGTTAAAAAAAAAAAAAAAAGTTTCTCCACTCAAGGAGTGTAATCCTCTTGCAGGACGAGATGTTTTTTTTTCTGCTGCTCGAGCCGCCGGGCTGCCAGTGCAGCAGCAGACACCCGAGGGGGGGTGGGTGGGATCTGATCTGACTGTCCGTCATATGAAGGGTGTTTATGGCGGCAGATCATCTCTCCTCCCTCACCCCGTGCCTCCCCCACTTCACGCTTCCCTTTCTCCTAAAATGGGGCACCGGGAAATGAGTATAATCAGGATTACACTGCACAAACCACCCGCACACAAACATGCGCATCGCAACCTGCACTCCTAAAGAAGGAGTTAACGCGTTCGCACGCAGTCGCAGCACAAACAAGCACACACCCCTGCTGCAGCGATGAGAGCCTCTCGCCCACCGGAGGTTTTCCAACATGCAGAAGTGCAGATATCCACATTTCCTGAAGGCTCAACGAAATGACTGCAATGTGCATAGAAGTGCTTGGTTTGCAGCGAAAGTGAAAGTGAAAGCGGGGGGGGGGGGGGTCGGGGAGGGCGTTTGGACGGACATTGAGGTCAGGCAGGATAGATGACTGTAAAAAATGAGAAAAAAAAATGAATAAAACAAGAAGAGATGAAATTAGAAATGGCCTGCCGTGGGCCATAAGAAGCCACTGAGAGTAGTGAAAGAAATGTGATTGTGAAATGAGCTAGCGTGTGTGTAATGGAACAGAAAAGGTAACATCCGAGAGCTCAGTGACGATAGCCTGCCACATCTTCGTCCATTAGAGCAGTAAACCACATCCAGAGGCCCACCACAAGCACCACGCGAGCTGCTATTAAGGTCGGTCAACCATTATACTAAATGGTGACATAGAGCATGGTAGTGGACTAAAATACTTTTTTTTTGCACAAGTGGAAGCTTTGGCCACTAATGGAAAGCATCTTTGTGACATCAATGGCCCAGAGACTATTTTCTTGAATGTATCGTTTGATATTTTGGTAGACTTTATACTTAACGCCAGTCGTGGATGACATGATCTTTTCTGAAGTGTCTTCATATTTTATAGGTTGTTGGGGTTCAGGGCTTTCAAGTCATACGTGCAAAATATTCAAATGTAGTGAGTTGTACCGTTGAAGATGATGGGAAATAATTGGCGTTGTGTAGACAGATTTACGTTTCTTCTTATGGCTAATACAAAATAAGTGAAAAAATGAATGCATCTGAATTTTCCAGTGATAACGTTGCCTATTGTCGTTTTAGCGAGTGGTCACGATCTTTTTTTTTTTTTGTGAAGCATACCACCGTGTCGGAAAGCCAAACAACGAGTGGGCTGACGGAACCCCGTCTAAGTGTGATTATCATATCGTGCCCTTTAAAGTGTTGTGAAGTCTAAGCCTTTAAGCCTTTATATTAAAAAACAATGAGGGTGAAGGTCATGCTAACATAGTTACGCGCAGTGCTGCTGTGTTTCAGCCCATAAAACGCTTGCCTGAAAACATGCTCGATCAAATGCGCGGATGTTTATCCGCAGTTGTCAGAGGGCCACGCGGCTTGAAAATCGTCGCGGTGTCTTCTCATGCAGCCAGTTTGTTGTTTTAACAAAACACAATTCGATTCTACCAGGAGAAGATTACGAACGCACGGATTTGATTTGGGCGATTCCGGTTTTAAAATTCAGCCTGCGTGACAGAAAACACGGGAAAATTCATTTAGCAATCTTGTGATTCGGCTTCACGATACGATGTGTTTGTTTTGTTGGTGCCGTAGTGGCGTACAACTCAAAGTTGTTAGCTTGCCAAGCTCCAAGAGATGGTCGAAATATTAGAAACGCCAATCAGTACAATATCACAAATACAAAGGTTAAAATGATACTTCTGAAGTTGAAAATTGATTGAGCATTATTTTGAATTCTTGACATAGCTTCATGACATGTACCTAATTTTCTTATTGATGAGTGTACAATTGAGCCAGATTTGTTTTAGTTTGCTGTGCCACATTAATTAGATTTTATTAGCTGATTAGGGTTCCAGAGAAAGAAGCAAACAAATGAAAAACGAGCACTACGAGTCTTCGGCCTTCCCTGCTGATCTGAACATGGCTGATCACGTGAGCAAAAAAAAAAAAAAAAGAATTGATACGGTACCATGAGTACCGACCATGATATGGTGTCTCTGCCTAATTCCGCATCTGTTAAGTTGTACAACAAGAGCCTGCGTAACGTTGTTTGGAAATACTTAACTACAATAACCAGTTTTGTTTTTTTTTACACGTGAGGTTAAACGTTTTTTGATGTCCCTCGCAATCCTCTCTTCAATTCGGTGCGTGGAGCTGCTGATTAGGAGGAATCAAATCAAAGATGTCACGATGACATCATTTGGATTCAAGTGAACACAAACACAAACAAGGCCAACGTGAGCACACGCGCGCCGAGAGGCTCGCCCACCCCCAGGTGTAGTTCATCTGGTAATGGCTTTTAGATCGGGGCTGTGTACAAAGATGATGGGCCGGGTTAACAGATGGCCAAGGGACGCCCGGGCCAACCTTCTGTTCATCGGTCGGCAGAGCCCACTTTTCCCTTCTTGCCTTCTTTTCCCTCTTTCCCCTCCACTCCTCTGTCATCCCATTCCATCTCTTTTGTTTCACTTGACTCACGCCACCACCCGTTTCTTCACCCCCTAGCAACTGTGCTTCACCTCTCCTCGACCTCCCTCCTCCCTCTCGCCTTTGCTTCCTCAATTTCCGCCAGCAGATACGGGTTGTCTGCCAGCCCCGAGTCTAATCCCCCCCACATTTTTTTTTTTTTTTCACGGCCTAGCCGCTGTTGCGGCCATCCCTTCCTATTTCTTTGTCCTTTGCTGCTGTGCTGGGCAGATGGCCAGCGCTCACAGCTGCAAGTCAAGTTCATAGCGTGTTGGAGCACCACATTGGAGAGCATTCCTCCAAGGAGGCTGTGAACCAGTGATTAAGCGGCACTCTGGCCAGGATGCGCCAGTGATTGGGGCATGCTGGGATACGGCAGCTCTGATAGCCTGCGAGCCTGACGCGACCATAAAAAGAACAGTCAACTGCAGCTTCATGCGGAGGTCGAGGCTTTGGCCCGGCTCGCTATGGCAACGGGGTGGGCAATAACCCAAGCCAAGGGCCCGCACATGTAAGAGAATGATGAAGCACATGGGCTCCTTTCTCCAGAGGTGGCAAAAATTACTGATTGAACACCTGTGCTCAACGGGGAGGAGGTTTGCAATTTTACACCCCTCCCAAAAAAAAAAAAAAAATCACTTTTTGTCATATCCGTAAAAATTGTCAGTCTGACCTGACAGCGGTACATGAGTAAAATGATCTGTGAATAATAAGATCCCCTTTCAGCTCCCATCTTGAAACCACAACACCTGAGGAAAACCAGACAGAAGGCATTTCAAACGAGGGATCAATCATTTGTTTGCGTACCGATCTCCGACAAAAAGCTGGGCGGGCTGGCGCAGCACAAAGAATGTCTTGAAGATGATCCTGGGAGAGTAAATAATGAATGAGCTCTCAACTTGTATGGCACGTTTGAGTTTTCTTCTGTGAAAGATACATAAAACATGCTAAAACTGTCTCCTCATTCAGCGGGCGCAGGATCTGGAGCAAATGGGAGGGTTGAGTGTCTTGCTCAGGGACACTTCGACATGGTCGCAAGGGATGGGGATGAAACCCACAACCTTGGGGTTGAGAAAAAAAATCATCCATCACCTGAGACTCGCCACCGCGAGGAGTGACAGGTATTTAATCTCAGACCACGTCGAACCAGCCTAGAGTAGGGGCTCTATTTTTGTAGACTCGCGCCTGGGCGCTCGGCAGAAAGTACAAAAATGAAATAATGTTGACTTCATGACTTCCCAGGTCGGCCTGGTGGTCGACGAGTTAGCGCGTCGGCGTCACAGTGCAGAGGCGCAGGGTTCGATTCCGGCTCCGGCCTTCTTGTGTTGCATGTCCTCCCCTGTGCCTGCGTGGGTTTTCTCCGGGTTCTCCGGTTTCCTCCCACATTCCAAAAACATGCATGGCAAACTGATTGAACACTCTAAATTGTCCGAGGTGTGATTGTGAGCCTGAATGGTTGTTTGTCTTTGTCTGCCCTGCGATCGGCTGGCCACCGGTTCAGGGTGTCCCCCGCCTCCTGCCCAAAAACGGCTGGGATAGGCTCCAGCATGCCCGGAACGGAAAATGGAGGGATCATGACTTTGCCTCACCTCTGATAATGGCCAGCTTTGCCGTGACTGACAGCTCTCCTGCGCTGTTACGCGCGACACACTCGTAGATGTTCTCGTCTCGAGGTGCTCTGAGAGGCTGGATCCTCAGCACGGCGCCTGCGCCGTCGTCAAACTCGATGGTCTGGATGGCAAGAGAGAAAGACATTAATGTCGTCGCAGTGGAAGCGGATCCACAATCGTAAACGAGAGGAGTTAGAGCGAAACGTTTAAACCATGAATATACCACAAACTATGAGTCTCCAAACACTTTCCAATCATTTTAGATTCACATTTAGAAAACTTTATTTATCCCTGTTGTACAATTCAAGATCATTTTACAACATTGCAGATCATCTTATTTGGAGAAGAAAAAAAGCACCGGAAGTGCCTGAGTATATCGGCTAATTGACGAGTACAAACGAGACCTCCATTCAGCAGAGCAAAACGTACGAATGCAATAAAGACGCCGTCGCAGTAACAACCTACGCTAAATTTAGCAGCGTACTTCCTTGAAACCAATTGCTACTTTCGTGTACGCCGGTGCTTTTGGTGTCATCTTGGCACGATAGAAAGAGTTTTGAAAATAAACACAAGGGTCAATTTGATGAATGGCGCAGGGGGTCACAAGTTCGTATTTTTCTTTGTCGTCATCTGTATCTGGTTACAAAAGTAATTCCATTCCAGTCATCGTTTGTTTGTTTCTTTTGTTCACGTCATGAAAGGCACGATGACGCAATCAATATTTTACCTGTCACAATCTCAATTTGGTGTCCCGCTCCGATTGTAAAATTATCATTCCACCAAAAATGTTACAAAACCACAAAGGGTTAAGGTGTGGTTTCGAGTTAGGTACGACTGCATCGACTGTTTGGTCCATCATTGCTCATATTTTTCTTTGGTTGTTATTTTTGGCAAGCGGCATCTAAATCCCCAAAGTGAGATTGAGCAGTAATGTGGAAGTTGTGATAGAAATTTAACAGCAGTGTGGAGTTTATGCTAATTATCGGTACTGTACTTGACCCCATCATTTAGACCACATGTGTCAAACTCAAGGCCCGGGGGCCAGATCCGGCCCCCCGCCCCCACATCATTTTATGTGGCCCGCTAGAACAAATCATGTGTGTCAACTATCATGATTCTTGCTGCAATCTGTACCGAAATGTCAAATTGTCATGGGTAATAAATAATGAGATTTTCCACCGGCCCTCTGCGGAAAGCCGTAACTCCGAAGTGGCCCGCGACAAAAAATGGGTCTGACATCCCTGATTTTGACACATACCTGCAAGAATCTGGTGTCTTGTGGCAAGACACCCCAGCAAGTCATACTTACCATTCTGGGCTCACTGTCGGGAATGCAATGTGGTCCCATGCATTAAGTGACAATCAATGATTAATTTTCAGGCAAGTCTTAGTAGCGGTCATGGTTTTAGTAGCATGCATGTATGAAAAGAACCACATACTAAAGCTTCAATTAGATACAAGTTGCTCATTGGTGCATGACCCCTCCCTCCCCCTTCCCCCCAAAAAAGAAAATTGGCTTCCAATGGTTTACATCTGTTCATCCCTCCGAGCAAGCCAACGATTGCTTCATTTAACCCCACTTCCCAATGGCTGGGCCTCAACTGCCAAAGAACATAATGCAGAATATTGCCTTCGAGTGAACCGTAAAACTTTTAGCACGTAATGATTGTAATGGATGCCAATTAAATGTTAATGCTGGTATTGAAGGAGTGTTGGTTGATTTCCACCGCTGTACGTCGCACCTGTGTTCTGATGAAAATTCAAGATTGTAAAAAGGCGAAGGATACAAAT